TATGATATCTTCAAACATATATTTTATTAAAAAATAAAAACATCATCGCTTTCTCAAAATCACATAAAACCATATTATAACATCGACTGAGATAAAGAATAAAATGAAATATTAAAATCACGATGTATCTCGTTGCATTGCGCGAGTACGCTTCTTATATATATATAGGGGTCTGATCAAGAGGGAGCTCGATTGTTTATGATAACTGTGAGATCCAATCTCAACCATGCATTATTAATAATTAATGGTTATTATTAAACATATTAATTTTGGTAATTATTCATTAGTTTTCAAATAATTTAAATTTATGGATAATATATAAGGGTAAACTAGTCTTTTTAAAATCTCTCTCCTCTCTCTCCCCCTCTCTCTGCGGTCAAGAATTTCTAACACTAAAACACAAAACGAATATGATATACACTGTGATACTCAAGAATTTATAATAGTAAGACACAAGAGCAGTTATGATACTACTGTAATAACGTTCTGAATATGGGTTGATAACATATGTGATTTGAGTTTTAGGTCTCCGACGAGATACGGGCTTAGCCATCATCGAAATCTTCGATGAGATCGTATTGTGGTGCACCGTAGAGGTCTCCAACGAGATTTTTTGTGGTGAAGCAGTCGAGGTCTCGGATAAGATCTCAGCTGTAGCACATCATCGAAATCTTCGACGAGATCATGTTGTGGTGCACCGTCGAGGTCTCCTACAAGATCTAGGCTTTAACGCATCATCGAAGTCTTCGCCGATCGTGTTGTGATGCACCGTCGACATATGGGCAACACAATGTTCATCAAGTTGTGAAGACGAATGGGAAGAACGAGATGGGTATGTACATAACTCCATTTTTTATTCAGTTTGTTAGAAAGTTTTGATTTTATGGTATGATTCAAACGATGAAGAGAAGGTTTGAAGAATTAGGAAACAATAATCTATAAAATCAATTTTGTTGAGATAATTAAGGAAACCAATTTTTTGATTGATAACTATTAAATAAGAAAAATATGTAAACTATAATTAATCATTTTACTAAAACACCATTTACCTATTAATTAAGATAATACAATTAATATCATAAAATGATTGGTTCATATTAGACCTCACGGTTACCATAAACTAATTAGTTTTCATTTTAATTAGACATATATATGTGTGTGCGTGTGTGTGTGTAGGTGGAGGTTAAAACGAGAACCTCTATGATTTACGAGAATGCAAAAACAACCTACTAACTTCAAACATTTTTAATCAATAATTTAAGTTATATTAAATAAAAATAAATCAATAAGAACAATAATGTAATTAGGTTTTTTTTATTTATAATTTTTACTTTATTTTAATTAATTAGAATTATCCCATCATTTTAGTTTGGGACTGATCATGTGGAGTTGAACGTGCATCGTAATCTTCCATCATTTTCTTTCCATCATATTCGATTAGGTTTCACAATCACATGATTATCACAAGAATGTCGAGTACAATCTATTAGGTTTCACCACCGCCACCGCCACCACCACTTATTCAACGAATCAAATACATAAATTCAAATTATTTTGACAAATTCTATTCAAATATTTGTCAACCAAACGCATAATCAGACATAAGTAAATTTCATTCAAATTTCTTCAAATTCTAATTCCAGTGATAAATTTCAATTGTAATAAATTTCATTAGAACCAAATGAATCTTGGACTTTATATGATAATCGGGTTTGGAGATTTAGGGGCCGTTTACCGAACGTTTACTCGGGTAAGCACTTACCAAGTTACGTTACCTTACCGGATGAATATGGTAAAGACCAATAATCTTACTCGGTAAGTGAGAGTGACAACTTTTACCACGGTTAGTGGCTTAGTGCTTAACGGGTAAATTGTTGCATACAGCATACGATGTTGTTTTCGTGAACTAAAAATCTTACCTAATAAATAAACGATAGTGTTGAATTTCACGGATAGATGCTTATCGGGTAAGTGATTGGGTAAACAAATTTATTAAAGGTCATGTTATAAAACATAACAAACAAATAAAAAAGGTACACGTCATAAACAAAGGGAATGCGCAAGTTAGCAAGAAGATCATAAGAACAGGAAAAGAAGGACAAGTGAAGTGGGTGAAGAAACTGATGAGACGGGGCGGACATTTCAAGGAACATTGCCTTCCCTAAATATTACCATTACCATTACTATTCTCTTATAAATCCTAATCCATCTCCTACCGAGCTTCATTTCTACTCCAAATTCCTCAAAAACCCCATTTCCAATTCTTCCCTCATGGAGTCTGCAGCTGTCTTGCGCTCCTTTCACTGTAACTCGCCATTTCTTTTATCTATAATGTATCTCTGGATGCTTTTGCTTTTGCTTCTGATTCTTGATTCGTTTTTTATTTTTTGTGATTTTCATGATTATATAATTGTATGATTCAACATGGTACTTTTTTTTACGGATCGAGTGAGCATTTATCTCGTATGTTTATGATTGACTGAGCTATCAGCTATATTTGGTACAAACTAGTGTGAAATCGGTATATTTGCTGTTTGTGCAAATTGTTTAGCTGCATGTAGTAGAGGCATCGATTTGGTTTAATCTGCAAGTTAAAAATTCCGCGTGTTTTACTTAGGAACAGCTTGGAACTATGTCCCATCTGGTTCTCTATCTGCATATATGACCTAGGTGGGGGTTGAAGCCATAGCCACCTATAGTTGGCGAGGATGTTGGTAATATTGGGAGCCTATACATGTTAAGTTATCCAAGGCTTCTGAAATGATCCTAGGGTTTCCATCTCAAAATCAATTGGCAGTGAGTGAGATCATCCTTGGACCATGGATTTTCTTTGCGCGTTGAGCCTTGATTCATCTCCTTTTGATGACCAAATTTTTGCCAGTTGATGTTAAATTAGGTTTTAGTCAACAAACGGATGTGGGATTTGTTCTCCTGACATGTCATGTAGCACATGTCAAGACTGTTGAGGCTAACAGGTGGACAAACTGAACAGATGATGGTTCATTAAATTGGACAAAATCATGCATCCCAACTAGGATTTCATGCCATGAAAAGGGCCTTATTGGTTTCTGCGTTATAATCAATTGGCTATTAGTACAGTCTCCTTGGATCATACATATTGGAGTAAGAATTGTATTTGTGGAATATAGGACTTCTATATCTAACATGTCTGTAGCTCTGTGCCACATTGTTACAGTTGGTTTTCTAATGTGTATCTCTGATACACCATTGAAAAGCTTTATTTTTGTATGTGTAAGCCATAGTTGTTATTGAAGACCATCTTAATCTCTCTTCATTATCATAATTGATGCATATAAGAGTTTGAGGGAATTTGTGCATATTCTAGTCATCTCTTTTATCCTGGAGCATGATCTTTCTGCAGACCATTATACAGTCAACTTTGATACCTAGGAGTTATCTAATAAGATATTGATTTTCTTTGGGTTTTATGGAGCTGATAGAACACCTCAAGCTTGGGTTTCTACTTGTATTAATATGTAATCTTGTGATTGCAGATTCTGCGAGCACGGTTTCACCTTTGCGTTCTTCATTTGAGAAACCTGGTGTGGTTTCTATGCATAATGCAGCATGGCGCATATCAACCAGATCTCCCATCCAAGGTTCAGCATTTGGTTGGGATCTTGTATCTTCTCAGAAAAAGCAGGCCGGTGCAATTGTGTCATGTTTGAAGTCATCTGAAGTTGCTGTTGTAGACAAGTCCAATGGTGAGTGTTATCTTTCAGCTTCTGTGGTTAAGATTAATCATCAACTTATGAACAAAATGGAAACTTGGAAAGGACGTGTTCCTTAATCTGCTTAGCATTCAAAATCCATCACCCCTTTCCTCTAATTCTGCTGATCCTGTTAAGATTTTTGGACGCCCTTCCAATCGTTGGCACATTGATAGAAAGTAGTTACATTGAAATTGTTGCATAAGTTCAACTTTTTCTCTATTCAATGCTTTGGTAGATTAATGTTAAAAAGTATTCATCTTTACTATGATACTAATGATCACTATGTGTTGCATTTCCATCTGAAGGATCAGTGGAGAAGAGTACTTCAACGGGTTCAACTTTTCCTAGTGGCTTTGAGGTGAGTGTCTACAAAGATAACTATGTTTCTGATAGAACCAATTGTCTGTTATGTATTCGAATTGCTGAATTGAAAACGATTAAACAAGAAGGAAAAAAGATAATTCTGGGTTCGAGAGCCAAATCTCCCCATTCCCCTCCTCTCTACTCGCTATTTATTGTTTCTAATTTACCAAAATTAACAAAACTACCAAAATTACCCGAATTACCAAAAAATTATTGCTTTCTAAAATAAACCTTTGAAACCAGTGGCTTATCAATACTCCCCCCCCCCCCACTGATTCACCTTGTCCTCAAGGTGAAATGCTGGAAGTAGAAACGGGGTGCCAACTTCGCACTATGATGAGCGGACAAGGATGTTTGCCGATAAGGTCTCGTCTTCAAGAACACCCATTGACCCACAGAATATTCTACGTTGCATCGGTGCTTGTCTGCCGAACTTTTCATTCTTTGTTGTGCTTTCTGTAAGTGGACTTCGAGTTCTGTTAGCATGCGATCTCTGTCCATTAGCAATTTGGTCCACTGAAGAGTTGGAGACTGCCATGTCTGAATAGGGAGTTAACGTTGGTGGGTCCCGACCATAAAGAATCTTGAATGGGGTAGTGTTCGATGATGTGTTGAAAGAGGTGTTGTAAGAATATTCTGCCTAAGGAAGCCACATCGCCCACTTCTTAGGCTGCCCCCCAACAAAGCAGCGCAAGTATGCCTCTATACCCTGATTGACTACTTCCGTTTGTCCGTCACTCTGGGATGGTATGCCGTACTAAATCTGAGTTTAGTACCTTGTAAACGCCACAGTTCCTGCCAAAAATGGCTAAGGAAGATTTTATCCCTATCCGAGAAGATTGATTTCGGCACACCGTGTAAACGCACAATTTCTTTCAGAAAAATGCCAGCGCCTTTAAGGGGTGTGAATGGATGTCGTAGAGCAATAAAATGACTATATTTGCTAAGTCGATCGACCACCATCAACAAGGAGTTAAATCCCTCCAACATGGGTAATCCCTCCACAAAATCCATGGAAATATCTTCCCAAACACGTTGGGGAATATCCAAGGGTTGCAGCCCCTGCCAGTGTCAAGGTGGAACTCTTGTTTCTTTGACAGATCGCACAAGCTGCCACATATTCTCAGATTCTTTTGTTCATTCTCTCCCACCAAAATTCTGCCTTGACCCGCTGCAATGTTTTTAAGAACCCGACGTGACCCCCGATGGTTCCGTCATGGTATTCCATTAGAATATGAATGATCAACAGAGATTGTTGAGGAATAGCAATCTTACCATGCCAGAGCAGTATGTTTTCCCTCAACTGAAAGGGACTTGGCTCTGGATTGCCGTTCTTGAGTTCCGCAATGCGTGTCTTCCATTTAGGGTCTTGATTCACTTTGTTGACAAGCTGAGTGATGTCCCAACCTTGGAATGTAATTAATTCCATTAAAGTGGGTTGATGGGCCTTCCTTGAAAGGGCGTCGACTGCAGCATTTTCTTTGCCCGGTTTAAATTGGATCAAAAAAGCGAAACCGATTAATTTTACCAACCACTTTTGATAGTCGGAGGAGACTTCACGCTGCTCTAGCAAATATTTGAGGCTACGCTGATCGGTTTTGACGAAGAATCGCTTCCCCATCAGATAATGCTTCCATTTCTTAGCCGCTAACACAATCGCCATCAATTCTCGCTCATACATTGATTTATACTTCCCTGTTGCTGGTAATGTCTGACTGAAATAGGCAACTGGTTTGTTGTTTTGCATTAGGACAACCCCTACCCCTGTTCTGGAGGCATCTGTTTCCATAGTGAACTCTTTCTCAGAATTTGGTAAGGCCAAAACGGACAGCTGTATCATGGCAAATTTAGTTGTTGGAAAACCTTTTCAGCTTCGAAACTCGACTTAAAATTATTATTTTTGAGCAATTGGGTTAACGGTAATGCTATTCCTCCATATCCTTTTACGAACCGTCGGTAATAACCGGTTAACCCCAAAAACCCACGTAATTCTTTCACTGTTCTAGGGGTCGGCCATTCTTTCTTTGCTTGGATCTTCCCAAACATCGCTTCCACTCCTTTGTCTGAGATTATGTGACCGAGATATTCCACTTGGTGTTTCCCGAACACGCATTTCTTTCGGTTTGCTATCAATTGGTTGTCGCTAAGTATTTGGAGGGACAAGGCAATATGTCGCCCATGTTCTTCCTCATTATGGCTGTAAACAAGGATGTCGTCGAAAAAAATAAGGATGAACTTCCGAAGGTGAGGGTTAAACAGTTCATTCATGAGGGCTTAAAAGGTGGCGGGAACGTTGGTAGGACCGAAAGGCATCACCATGAACTCATAATGACCGTCATGGGTTCGAAAGGCCGTCTTTTCAATGTCATTATCCCTCATTAGAATATGATGATATCCCAATTTGAGGTCTAATTTGGAAAAATTTATCGCCTCGTGTAGTTCATCTATCAGTTCTTTGACCAACAAAATGGGACCAACAGTTGCTTGGTTGAGTGCGCGGTAGTCAATGCAAAACCGCCAACTCCCGTCTTTTTTTTAACTAATAAAATGGGGCTAGCGTACGGGGTCTCACTAGGCCGAATGACCTGGGCAAAATGACATTCCTTGGATGAACTTCTCGATTTCTTTTTTCTGCTCATAAGAATGGTAAGGTCTTACACAGATGGGCTCCGTGTTCGGCAGTAACGGTATGGCGTGGTCTTGCATTCTCTTTGGTGGTAGATGGTCTAACGGTTCGAACACATCTTGATGGTTCTCGAGGACCTGTTGCAAATAGGTCTGGTCTCGGGTCCTATGTTCTCTTTTCTTCTTGCAGCAAATACAAGTCTAGCAACAATGCTTCATCTGTGGTATGCCAACATTTGTGCAACCCTTTCAACGAGACAACGTTTTTCTGTAGGCCCGGTTCCCCTCTAATGACTACCTCTGACCCATCCACCTTGAATTTCATCTAGAGCGCCCTCCAACTAACCTTTATGTCGCCCAAAGTTTCCAGCCATTGTATACCGAGAATGATGTCGGTGCTCCCTAATTCAAGCGGTAGGAACTCTGTAATGGTCCGCATCTCGGCGAGGATCAACTCTACTCCTCGGCACACACCGTTCCCCTTCACCACTTGTCCCGTCCCGACCTTTACCCCAAACCCGGCGGTTTCGTCAACTCTGAGTTGGAGTAGTGAGACCAGCCCTGTGGAAATAAAATTGTGGGATGCACCACAGTCAATAAGGACAATCACTTCTTCACCTTTGATGAGCTCCCGAATTTTCATGGTACATGGGGATGTAAGTCCAACCACTGAGTTTAGGGATAACTCGATGGTTTGGTCTTGTTCAGTTACCAATCTTTCAACCTCATTTTGATTAATTTCTTTGTCTTCTGCTTCTATTTTGGTGGGTTCATCTTGGAGTATAAGTACTTGTAATTCCTTGTTCTTGCACTTGTGACCCACTTGATATTTTTCGTCACAACGGAAACAGATTCCCTTAGCCCGTTTATCTCGAAGCTCCGCTTCTGTTAATTTTCTGGTTGTCGGGAGGCTCCCATTCCTTTACCCACTGTCGCCGGAACACCTGTAACCATGGCACTATTGATCGGTGTCGGGGTAGTGCGAACTACGAAAGTCGAAAAATTAGGGCTGGGTTTATAGGGACCACTATGACTTCGATTACCTCCCAATAGCTGAGAATTTCAGTCCTCCACCAATTGGGCTACTTCCATGATTTGGGACAGCCCCTTGGGTCTAAGTAGCCTGACTTCGGCCTGAATGAAGGGTTTGAGCCCATTCATGAAATTGCATTCCAACACTTTCTCGGGAAGGTCCAATAAGGAGGAAGCAAGAGTCTCAAAAGAATGGCGAAATTCACGAGGTGTACTTGTTTGTTGGAGAGCTAGAAGTTGTTCGAGGGCAGATCCACCATTGGTGAGTCGGAATCTATTGATGAGTTGCAATTTCAAATCCTCCCAAATCAGAATCGGATCTCTGCTATCGACCTAATGAAACCATGCTAGAGCCTCGCCTTCCATACAAATCCCTGCAGTGGCAACCTTCTCTTTCTCCTCAAAACGTTGAAGGGTAAAATAACGTTCCGCCCTAAAAATCCATCCATCTGGATTGATCCCATTGAACATGGGTAATTCAACACGTCGCAATCTCCAATCCGTTGGAGAGAATCTCGGAGTTGGAGGTTTGCCGGTTCCTCCCGTATCTGAGTGGACGAAAAACGAGGAATTCACACCCCCTTTGGGTTGCGATTCTGGACCTCCTCCCGAACCAGAACCTTGAAACGACCCTCTGGATTGCGAGGAATTGTCGGATTTCGCTTGGAATAGCGAATCCAGTTTGCCCGTAATTGCTTGAATTCCCTCGTCTAGATCGTCAATTCGTTTGGTGTTACCTGCCTCGCTATCTCAAAGCGCTTTCACATAAGCTCTCATTGCTTGAACGGATTCTTCCAGCACCTCTATGCATTCTCCTTGAGTCTTTGGTGCCATAGTCAATCAGAATCGAAGGCTCTGATACCAATTTGATAGAACCAATCGGCTGTTTTATATTCGAATTGCTGAATTGAAAATGATTACAAGAAGAAAAAAAGATAATTCTGGGTTCGAGAGCCAGATCTCTCCTAAACAAAAAAGATCACAAGAATTGCCTCCCCATTTCCCTCCTCTCTACTCACTATCTATTGTTTCTAATTTACCAAAATTAACGGAACTACCAAAATTACCAGAATTACCAAGAATTTTCGCTTTCTAGAATAAACCTTTAAAGTCGGTGGCTTATCAGTTTCCTGTATCATTGTGCAATATGTGGGACAAGCTTGTCACATACTAGAAAGCTCTCCAGAAATCTAACCAGAAATTTAGTTCCTCCTTGACATTATTGTTTTATCTTTCTAGAACCTTTTTCATGTTTAGGTTATTAATCTCTGGTTACTCACAATGAAAAGTTGGATTTAATCTGTTCACGATTTTGTAATTGAAGCAGCATTTTGATGTACTTTTGATAAATCTCATCAATTGCACTTGAGAAGATATTCAGTGACACTGGTTTTGAAGATCCAATAAATTAGTCTGCAAATAATGAATTGATGGTTCACCCTGTTTTTATCAAGGTAGGGCAAGAAATAGGGTAAAATTATTAGGCATGTGGTCCTTGAATGACTTGAGAGTTGAGACATCATGTATTTAACTCTTCAAATTTATATCTACACAGAAGCATCAAGAAAATACCAGCATCTAACTCCGAAAGGAGCATATAATGGAAGTTCATTCTTACTCCTTTATATTTTGCTCCTTTCATTGGATTATTGCTAGATACATGTGCATGTTGATTGTAATTTGCCTATGCCATGTCAAAATTGTGATCATTTCTCTAGTTGAGCTAAAAAGTTGATTCCATATATTGAAGTTATTTTCACTTTTCTGGAGACGCTATATTGGCTTATTAAATAAATTAAAGAAAACCAAGTTCATCTTATACTGGAATAAGAATGTTGCATGCCCGCTAGCCAATGACTTGGTGGTGGTATTTAAAGGGGTTGGAATCATAGTCAGGCCTTCAGGGTAAGCCTTAGGTACCCCAAATTTCTCAATTCCCAACATGTATAGAGTTCAAACCATTTTTTGGAAGAATCCAGAAGTATATGCCAAGGATGAAGCTGCTTTTATCACTCACAGTCTCACATCGTGGCACTGGTGTAACTTTTCTATGATGTGCAATTTCTCTACTTTATTTTGCTTGACCATTTTACTTACGTGCTTACTGTTTAATATCAGGAACTTGTCCTGGGGGTCTGTGACGAGACACAGATTGCTGAGTTGAAAATGAAGGTAAGCTGCCACATTGGTAATCTCATTTGCATATCTTTCGTAAGATTGTTGGTTGTCATTTAATCAAGTATTTTAATTATGAAATAGCATATTGTGCCATGGGCACTGCATATCCATTAAATGTCATGGTGGTGACGTCAAAACATGAAAAGGCATAGATACCCTTTTAAGATCCCTTTTCTTTAATGGAGCTACATTCGAAGCTTACGTGTTACCTCCGTAACTTATGGTCTTGTGACTGCCAAAAAATGATTATGCTAAGAAAGACAACACGTTTATACGTAATGGCGGATGACTGTAATGTGAACTACAAGGGAACAAACATGGAATAGTGGAAATGTTTGTGGAAGGTGTCTGTTTAAGGTCTGAGCTCATGATAGGGCAATTGGCCCTAGTATGTGGTGGTTATAACCATTATGGTCTTTAAAAATTGAGATTAGATATAAAAACTGAAAATCTACCACAAAATGGAGGACTCTTAAATGAATCATTTCCTCAGGTATCCAACGCGTATCAATCACAATATTTGAAGATCCTGATCTTGAGACATGATACGATTGCATGCATCATATTTGCCATTAAAAAAATCCTTTTGTTTTCTCTCCCCTAAATACAAGTTACACACGCCTTTCAGGAGTAAGAGTCATCTGATTAGGTATCTGTTTGTTTTCTCATAGATTGGTAACTTTGAAATGCATCTCAAGAGGAACATTAAATCAGCCGCTGCCATCATACCTGTTGCTTCACCTACAGAAGCACCACCAATTCCTAGCAAACCAATGAATGAATCTGCCCCTGCTACCCCACCATCGCCACCAAAGCCATCTTCTCAAAAAACAAATCCCTTTACAAATGTTCCCGTTGAGAAGTCGAAGAAATTAGCAGCACTAGAGGCTTCTGGAGCCAGTGGATATGTTCTAGTCTCATGTCCAACGGTATAATGTTCCATACCCAATCTTTTCCTTTCTTGAGCCTGTGGCCTCATGGCTTTATGCAAAATGGTTTATGGGTTCATATTTCACCATTTCTTCTATTATCAGGTTGGAACATTCCGCAAATGCAGGACACTTAAAGGGAAGAAGCAACCTGTTCTCTGTAAAGAGGTAACTTTTGCAACATGTGAGCTTTTTTGGTCAAGCTACGATAGAGAGCAACTAAATGTCCTTTGCAATTTTGTTCTTTGAGTTCCTAGCTCTCCTTTTAGTTTTTTTTAGATTACTTGTACACACACAAATAAATTCATAATTTAATATGCCATAAGCATATGGCAGCATAAAATTTAACCATTTTTCTTCATTCTTCAATTTCCATTGTGGGACCCATCATCTTTGTCCTCACATCAAGTAAATTGGATTGACAATTCACATTTTCATACTCCTCCACATCATATAAGTGGTATCACATTTTCAATTCTCCATGCATCATATAAATGGGACCATAAAATGAGAAGTTTGAAATGGCTGAATAGATTTATACTTTTTAAAACAAAAACCAAATTTACAAAAGCCAACTCAACCTCCAAGGATGATATTTTCAGGGAACGCCTTCATTTAGTCTAGTGACATAATATTCAACATTGAGCTACTTTGTGTTGAATGAACAGGGTGATATTATCAAGGAAGGACAAACTATATGCTATTTGGACCAGTTTGGCACTGAACTTCCGGTGAAGGTGAGATAATGTCCTCAACAGTTTCTGTTTTCAGGGTAAAAAGAACTTCATTTCAATTTGATCATCATCTTTCTATGATTATGCAGTCGGATGCAGCTGGAGAAGTCATAAAGATTCTCTTTGATGATGGAGGTATGATGTCTGGTTCAATTTTTAATCATCACTGCATCTATCTTTAAGGCATTTGCTTTTTAGAACAATTAATTACAGAAAACATTCTACCAAATTGTCCCAGTTCATAAATCTATCAGGTTAATTGCACATAAATTAAACCAAACTAAGAAAGAATAAAACTTGTTTACTCCAATAATAGTTCATGAAAGAGTACATTAGAACTTAGCAGGGTCTATAATTGTGAAGGTTGGTGCTCATTCATGATAACAAGTGATAATTCATTATATATTTTTATGGCCCATTTTCTATACCCTATCAAATTATTCCTTATTAGATCATGACAATTGCTCCGTTGCTCACCATCCAATGGTACATATCCACCGGGTTCTTTTATTTATATAATTACCAGGCACTTGCGCCATTTATGGGCTGTTCAAAAAAGAACATTTCTCTACAAAATAATCGTACTTTGTTTCGGTTCCCTAGATCTCATCTCTATGGTGGAAATACTACAAAAACATTCAAAACAAGACATATATTCAATTTGCACTTCACAGGCGTATATTAATTCCTTAAGATGGAACTTGCTCATTGTTTGTATATGATTTTCACTTTCTGTTATGGCCATGTTTGGCAAAGTAGCTGACAAGCTGGTTGTTAGTTAAAAAACTAGTTGTTGACTAACTGTTAGCTGAGAAAACTAGTCATGTTTGGTAAAAACTAGATGATAAGCTAGATGAGAATGTAAAATGACGTAAATATGACGTGTTAAAAAATTAGTTGGAAAAACACAAGGGGCATAATAAAAAAGAAGCAGAAAAAGCCTCTAGAGCTTATTAAAACACCACATGAAGTAGCTTTTCAAAAAGCTAGCTAGCTTATTGCTAACTAAACGGAGTTTTTCAATAAGTTCATAAAATAAGCTGGCTTATGGTTGCCAAACACGGGTTATGTTAGTTTGAACAGCAAGATTGTTTTCTTGTTGTTTGACATACTTAATAATCATTTCGGATTTGTAATTCTGCAGAGGCGGTTGGATATGGAGATCCCATCATTGCAGTCTTGCCCTCTTTTCACGACATCAAGTAAACTACCATCATCCCTTTAAGTAGTTCTGTGGTCAGCTTTCTCCAATGGCTTGCAGTTTGCTTTTTGTTTTAAATCATCTGTATTCTTCTTAGCATTTTCGCCTTTTACCAATTTTGTGGCACGGGCATTCAGTTAGCAATGCAACTTGCCTTTCCAGTGTGTGTGGGTCGAAAATTGAATTCAGACCTACAACAAAAACGACCATAAATTTCGACATGTAGAGAGTTTATAACCTGTATTTGCATATTTCTTTAAGCCATTGCCAGGGATGATACACTATGATCATTTGTTGCAGATGAACCTAAACAGATAACATTACATGCTCGGGTTATACGATTCAAAAACTGTGACAAAAAATAATCAATTGTTACAAGATCAACATGAAGCTCTCTCTACTAATAACACAAAGACTTGCATCAACAGTAGTAAATGGAGAGATCAATCTCGACTAGCTAGTAGTTCGTTGCTGAATCTTGTTCCCATTGGCTTGCTTGCTTACCGATCTTCTGTAAAGCTCTGATCACTTCTTCATTCGTTACATTTCCCGTAACCATCACCTTGTTCAGTTTTGTATCGATATCATAAGCTTCAATGTCTGCTAGAAAAAAAAATATCAAACCCTATTAAGCCTAGCTTAGAAAAAGCACTTTAGCATCCACAATGGTTGAAGATTTCGTTGGTAACTTAAGTGGGACCCATGAGCAAAAAAACAAGCTGTTTGGAGAGGTTCCTATTTAGGAGTTCTTTAAGCTTAGGTAGCCAAAAAGCTTTTCAAAAAGCTCTCCAGAAAGTTCCATTGTGAATGCTCCAGGGTCGAACCAAAAAGGGTTAGAGCCGATGAGAGTTTCTGTGGAACCGATCCAGGGGTTGTTTGTTTACCTCTCAATAGTTCCATTAAGAGGCAACCTCTGAATGTTAAGAGGTGAATCTTGTTTGGCAAAAAAAAGTCTGCCTCATAATGGTTCCAAAACCCTCTGAATGATTTTGTATCCTGGATCTCCCTTAACCATTAAGAGCCCTAATTTCATTGTACACAATTACCAAACAATTATATTTCATTTTGCACTATATCATGGGAGCCTCTTAATCATTCTGACCGCTTAATCATTCTGCACCAAACCATTCAGCAATTGCCAAACAGCCCTTTAGTTGTTACTCCTTACCTTGGGTCTATGAAAATGGAAACTTGAAATTTACTAATGAATGAAATGGAAAGATGAGTTGATGATACCTTCAAATTTCTTGATGGTCTTTAAGATCTTCTTGATGCATTGATCACAGTGTAAACCAACCCTCAATTCTACCACCTATTTCAGGAAAACAAAAACAGTTTAAGCACAAATGACTTGGTTTACAATGAAGAAAATGTGTGGTACAAAAACTCACATTTGCCATTCAAGAAGTTGTAGAGAAATCTGGGATGCAAAGAAGGGATATTTAAAAGGGGGGTTAAAAGTGGGGGAATTCGATTCTCACTCTCTGGATGCCAATTTCATTTCACTTTTTATGTTGACATCATGGGATTGGGACATTTTAGACATTACCCACCGTACGTTGCGGGTGGGGGTGCGGTGTAATCGAGCCGATTTGAACCGCAACTTGTTCACGTTGAGGTTTGTTCGTGAAAAAAACACGTTGAAAAGCTCATGTGTTGAAGTTTAAAGCCTATAAATAAGTGTTGGAAATCATTAATCAAAGGAGATTCAAGTAGACAACTTAGGTGCCGTTTATCAAACGCTTACCCGGGAAAGCGCTTACCAGATCACATTACATTATCGGATGAATATGGTAAGGATCAAAAATCTTACCCGGTAAGAGTAAGACAAGGACCAAGAGTCTTACCCGGTAAGTGAGGGCAACGACTCTTACCACGGTAAGTGCTTACCGGGTAAATTGTTGCATACGATGTCGTTTTGATGGACTAAAATCTTATCTGCTAAGTAAATGATGGTGTTAATTTTTGCCGGTAAGCACTTACTGGGTAAGTGTTTGGTACACGGTCCCTAAGTAAATGTATTAAGATTCTTTTTCTCTTAATTTTACAAAAAAAAATCTATCTTTTTTCCTTTCTCTTAAAACAAGATACCTTAAAATAAATAATTGTTGCGATGATGTTGTTTTTGTAGATGGATGTTCACTAGAGGTGGCCAAAATTCGGTCCCGGGCCGGGCCTTAACCGGTCCCTACCGGGCCTAATCGAGACAAAAACCGGCGGTAACCGGTCCCGACATAACCGGTCCCGGTGATTTTCCTTGTAACTGGTCAAGGTTATTAGTAACCGGTTGTCCCAACCGGTCCCGGTCCCATAACCGGTCCCGACCGGGCCTATTAAAAAAAAATGATTTTTTTTTTAAATTTTTGGTTATTAATAAATTTTTAATATGTTATTAATATGTTTGTAATATGATATTTTGAATATGTTTTATTATAAATACATTTTACTATAAATACGTTTTGTTATATATATATATATATATATATATACGTTTATAAATATGTTTTGTTATATATATATACGTTTATAAATACGTTTTGTTATATATATATATATATATATATATACGTTTATAAATACGTTTTGTTGTAAATATGTTTAAAAATACACAATAAAAATACGGTTTATTATATATATACGTTTCGTTGACCGGGCCGGGCCGGGCCTATAACCGGTTACATAACCGGTCCCGGTCTTAACCGGTCCCGGTCCCAAAAAACGTCAAAAACCCTAACTGGATCATAACCGGCGGTCCCTCAACCGGTCCCTACCGGTCCCGGTCGGTCCCGGTCCCGGTCCCTCTCCGGTCCCGGTCCCGATCCCGGTCCTCCGTCGGTTATGGGCCGGGCCGGGCCCATTTGGCCATCTCTAATGTTCACACTCCTTATTTTGTGACTTCAAGTATGGGCCATTTGTTCAATTCGTACATATTTTTCTAAAGGATATTAACCAGGGACAGACCCAGAAATTGGTTTTTACAACATTATAGTTGGTTTGTTGGTTAGTTAATTGTTTTTCATATTGGGATTCAAACTCGGGTCTGTGGTGAAAGAAAATTTTGTAAACTAACTCTACAAAGGAAAATTTGTATTCTTATTGTAGTTTTTTTTAAATATATATGGTGATACATAACAAATTGATACAGTTGCATTTTAAATGAATCTAAATTTTTTTACATTATGACGGATGAAGGAAACGGTGGCACGTGCCATTGTAACCACAAAGCCAGGTCCGTCCGATAGATTTTGGTGGACGGTTTTATCGGTCTTGACATATATTTTGGATATTTATTATTGCAATTTACAAACGGTCTGAAATTAATGTTTTTTTTTCATGTGTTACGTAAATAATTTTATAGCTTTTTACAACTAGAGATGGCCAAAAATACGTCCCGGGCCGAGATTTTCGTGCGGTAACCGGTTTCGACCAAAATCGATCTCCCCATTCTCCATATACAAAGCCCAACCCCTAGCCTAGCCTACCCTAAAAGTGGTATAGTAGGGCATAGTAGGCGCAAGATTGACAGCATGTTGAGCTAGCCACAACCCACTACTGTCAAGGGGTTGAGAGGCTTTYTGGGTTTAACAGGCTATTACCGAAAATTTTGAAAAGGGTATGTGGTTATCAACAAGACACTGACCAGTTTACTGACCAATTTTAAAATTTTTTGAATAAATTTGCTAAACTTTTTGAGGTGTGCACTTTTATGTTGTTTTTGTTTATAATGTTTGAATTTGTGGTTGGTTATGGTGGTGGTTAACGGTCGAATAAATGATGATATTAATCAGTAACAATCTGTAATAACAAAATTTTGTTGTTAATTAATAATAATGGTAAAGAAAATCAATGGGAATGTCGAATCATCAAATTAAAATCAAGAATTCTATTATATCTTTCTTATATTTGTATCTTTAAATTGCTGTATTTCAAAATAATAAAAAAATGGTTTAATAATCTACCGTATTTTTATATACAATACACTAGCTTTACAAGTAATCAGATCATTTTTTGTATACAAAATTTGATAATACACCCTTAGGTGGCGTTTAGTTCGCAGATTCTGGAGGAATCTGAAGGAATTGGAATGTTGAATTCCTTTGACCAGATTCATTTCCTTCGTTTGGTTCATTCTTTTCAGCGGAAGGAATCTTCAGATTCCTATGAATTCCATGGATAAAGGATTTTAACATTCCTTAGTAACTATATGGTATTTTGATAGAATGAAATCTCTATCTTCATTATACCAAATATGTCTTTAACCTAATATACTATAATCTCATAAAAAAAACATATGACCATCGTCGACCATCTCTCGACCACTATTGATTTGAACGACCGCCGACCACCACCACCGACTACCACCGATCTGAACCACCACCGACTACCATCGATCTAAACCACCATCGACCATCACCACTGATCTGAACCACCGCCGACCACCACCATCGACTACCACTAGCCTGAACCACCGGCGACCACCACCACCGGTCTGAACCACCGCCGACCACCACCACCGACAACCACCCGTCTGAACCATCGCCGACCACCACCATCGACTACCACCGGTCTGAACCACCGCCGACCACCACCACTGACTACCACCGGTCTGAACCTCCGCTGACCACCACCGCAGACCACCACCACCGACTACCACCGATCTGAACCTCCGCTGACCACCACCGCCGACCACCACCACCGACTACCACCGGTCTGAACCTCTGCCGACCACCACCACCGACTACCACCGGTTTGAATCACCGCCGACCACCACTGGTCTGAACCACCGTCGACCACCACCGGTCTAAACCACCGCCGACCACCACCACCGACTACCGCCACTCTAAACCACCGCCGACTACCATTGATCTGAACCATCGCCGACCACCACCACCGATCTGAGCCACCGCTGATCTGATTCACCGTCAATCTGAATCACCGCCGATAACCGCCATTTGAACCACCATGGACCACCGATCTAAACCACGCTGACCACCACCGCCAACTACCACCGATCTGAACCACCGTCGACCACCATCATCGACTACCACCGATTTGAAACACCGTCGACCACCACTGACCACCTCCATCTGAACCACTGCGGACCACCATCGATTTGAATCACTACGGAACACCACCATCTGAACCACTGTGGACCACCGCCGACCACCGTCGATTTAGTAACGTCGTTTGGCTTATGATTATATTTGGGTTGTGTATTTTATATAATATTAAATAATTATTTTATTGAAGTACTTTTAGTTTTAAAAAATTAAAATTTCCAAAAAAGGGCATTTTGGTCATTTACCAAAATTTTATTCCAATTCTAAAGCTACATTCTGTGAACGAAACATAAAGATTCCAATTCCTTAACATATTCCATTCCAATGTCTGCCAACCAAACAGGTGGTTAAACCTGACAACATTCCATTCCAATTCCTTCAAAGTCAAATTCTTTTGACAGATTCCATTTCATCCAAAAACATTCTGCGAACCAAACGCCACCTTAAATATATCATCTAAAAAGTAAATTTCCTGAAGAACAATTAGTAAATTTCCTGAAGAACAATTAGAACTAATATCAATGCAATTTACTTATGTTATATGAGTTAATTTCGTTTAAAAAAAATTAAAGAAGTCACAGCAAATGATACATACATCTACACGTGGCAAACAGCTGCTCCCCCTCTCACAATCACCTTTACCCATTTCCACAACTCTCTCTCTCCATAGATTATTTGAGAAAAATCCAAAGTAGCAGACGAAACCAATAATGGGATCGTAAAGTTGCAAAAAAAATGGGAAATGCACTCAGGATTGCTTATGGCGTATGCTGTTCCAAGCCACCAACCACCACCACCACCGCCGGTGATCAAGAACTTGGCCACCACGGCGTTTCTACATCCACCGTCGGTGTCTCCGCCCTTGCCCAACACCTCTATCACTTTGAAATCACCTCCCAGGTAGGTACTCTCACTTTCTTTCAACAACAAATCATCCTTCCATCCATCACTTGGATCTGTCCATTTTTCCACCATAATTCACACCTCCTCCCATTTTCCAAACATTGTTGCAACCAAAATACATTTTCATCTATAGGTTCCTGGAGGTCTGACTAAGCATGTCACTTCATCCAAGAGAGCTCAAATTAACTGGTAAAGTTTCCAACTTTTTGCCTCATAAAATTCAAGTATTAGACCTAAAATTGAACATGCAGTTTCTCTCTCTTGTTTTAGTTGGTTTTTTGACACTTGAAAAATGAACTGATGAAGGTATAAGAAACTAGCAAAGGCATGGAGGGAATCAAAACCCCCACCCAAGACACCTGAAGAGGCTTCCAGACTTGTAATTCACACCCTGCACAAACATCAAACACCTGATATTGAGGTTCTTTCTCTTTCTCTTCTTTTCTCTCAAATTTCACATAAACCCAACTAGTTTTCAGGTCTTAACACCAATGGGTATGGAAAACCTAACCCACATAATGCAACATTGGTCAAAAAGGTCCTTTGAGCAGTAACTTATCTAAAAGACTTGTAATTTGGTGTTCTATTTTCTTTTTGAAGGGCTTATGATACCTTTCACCGCTCGATATACAACTAACTTGTACAAAATGACATCTAAATTGGGTGTTCTATTTCTCATTTTTGAAGGGCTTATTGTCATTTTACGGTCTCCCTCTTCCTCATTCACTAGTTGAACTCACCGCTGGTGACGCTCCACTGCTTGCCGACGGTCTTAATTATGAGTTACACACGCTTCCTGTAAGAACAATTGCCTCCTAAACTTACACTCACACTTACACTTCCTATAAAATCTCTTTCTTAGTGGTTTTGCAAATTCACTTGATTTAAAAAGGTGGATGCAAGGGCAGTAGCAGATGGGGATACTGTAACAGTCTATGTTAGTACCTCAGATTCTCGGGAGTCGTCGCGTGTTCCCCAATCGGTACAAGTGGCAGCGGTTGAACGCAATGAAGCACGTGCCCAGAGAAACTACACGAAAGCTGATGCACTGCACAAGCAAATCACAGATGCAGGATATCGGTAATTAGTCATGTCTATACGATACAACGCTAGTTTTTAACTTCGATAGCAACCTTTACATGGATCATTTAACTTGTTGACACAGAGTACTACATATTCATGATGAGGACATTCTAGCACGCAAGTACCGCATTAGACTAAGGTATTTCAAATAGATTTGTGTCTATATCTGGTTTCTATTTTCCAGACTATGCATTTCTCTGCTGGATATTTGTTCGTTCTTGCTCTTTACTTATATACCATAAGATTAGTTTATAGAAGAGCGTACTAAGGTCTTCTTTGACGACCATAAACTAACTTATTTTTTGAGCCTACTAAAAAAAGCCCCATTTTGGTTTGACATAAACTAGCTTATAAGGCAAGAACCATTTTCCAATGTTGTCTTTATATTCTTTCCAATTAATTTTTCAGCATGTCCGGTCATTTTACATTGTTGTCTTAAGCTTAGTGTTAACCGGTGTTCAAAAAGGCGCGCCATGGTGCAAGACGCGTCTCCGCCGTTGCGAAATGGCCCATAACGTTTCTGTAAGGCGTGGCTCACGCCATGGTGTTTTGAGGTGTGCCATGACGCATGTTTTTTGTAACACGTGATTTTTTTCCAAAAAAATATATTTTTTATTTTGTATCTTTTGTGTTTTTACACTTTTAACTTTAGATTTTACATTTTTATGTAGATCTAACTAATCACATCTTTCACAGTTTCACAAATTCATAAACGTTACAGACTCTCGGTTAAGATGAAGTTGTAAAATTACCTTTCTAAGTTCTATTTCAAATATTTAATCAAAAACCTATTTTTATAATAATAATATATATGATTTTTCTTCTTCTAATATGAATGTACATTTTTTAATATCCTTATCTGATTAGATGATATACAGAAAACATATATCTGTATATATAATTCTATATATGACATACAATTTTGCCGCCTTATGTCACGCCTTGAAAAACGCCGCATCCTTGTCGTGGCGTGTAAGGCTTGAGGCTTGACTTCGCCGCCACGCCACGCCTCACGCCTTTTTGAACCTTGGTTTTTACCAAACATGACTAGCTTATAAGCTAGCTTTTTGGGCAACAACTAGCTTTATAACTAGTTTGCCAAACATAGCCTAAATACTAGGGGATAAGTAATTGCAGTGCCAATAAACACCTTGTAGGCTATGCTAGCCATTGCATGAGGTTTCTCTATTTGGTGTCATCATGAGTAAATGGAAACAGGGGAATAGATGCGCCCGAAAGCTTGATGCCCTACGGGAAAGAGGCGAAGGAGGAGCTGGTGAAGATAATCGGTGGCAAGTGTTTAAAAATTTTGATCTTCGATGAAGATCAATATGGTCGTTCTGTTGGGGATATCTACTGTAATGGCATCTTTGTACAGGTAATTTGGCTGACCTCATGATGTCATGCACCTACATATGTAATGCAACTAATTTGGAAAGTCGATCACACAGGAATTAATGTTAAAGAAAGGACTTGCATGGCACTACACTGCCTACGACAAACGGCCAGAATTTAAGAAGGTAAATTACCTCGTCATTTATGTGATTGTGGCAAGAACAATCAGCTTTTGTATCTTTCTGAAAATGGCTGAATTGGTTTGATATCAGTGGGAGAAAGATGCCAGAGCCAAGCGACTTGGGTTGTGGGCTTCATCAAATCCTGAAATGCCATGGGAATGGAGGAAGAATCGTCGTGAAAACAGATAGCTGCACTGCTACACTCTCAAACGGATGATGCTACTTCTTAGTCTGTTTCCAGGCCACCATCAACTATGACACATAGGATAAACAAGGCTTTGGACCTTCAAATCTGTCTTTTGTAAGAGAGTTAGCATGGTGAATTAAGATTAAAACTCAGTAAAAGGGTGTGAAAACAACTCTCCCGTAATCGAACTGTTAAAAATGTTTTCCCATGGATCAAACTGTTTGTCGCTCCACCGAGGCCTTTGCCTTTTCTTCTCTGTTTCTTGACATAAGCATCCATAGCTTTTTGGTCACAGGCTCACTGTCCAATTTAAATAACACATTCAAATGTAACAAAAATGAATAAAAACAAAATTGCTTCTAATGTTTGTTGGATTTTTCCCATTGGAATTGATCCCACATAGGAAAGAAAGGGGGAAAAATGGATGATTTATAAGGGTAAGATCATAAGCCTTATCAAAATCAACTAAAACCTTTCGATTGGGCTTTAGCTTGGGGTCTCGTGACCGTCACGGCTATAGCCAAACCAGACCGACCGACACACTGTTTCCGAACAGTCGTGTCTGTTCGCGTGGGTGGTTTCTTAACCGCCCGTGGGTGGTTATTTAACCACCAAATAACTACCGAGGATATATATACATGCTATATCCCTTCATTCGAGAACACATTCATATTCCATACGTTTTTCCCTTTTCAATTGCATCTTCCCTCTCAAGAACAC